GCAGGAATGAGCGAGTAACCATTAGAGATTTATTAGTTTGAGGAAAAGTGTTTTCCGAGAGCATACAATATCACTGTAGAATATGATTAATATCCAATGAAATGCCTCTTCAAATGACTCAAATAAATATTCAATGGCAAGCATAAGATGGCAGCGAGATTGATACCGTTATGCAGTCTAGCGACTGGTATGCATACAATTGGAAACATTTGCTTGCAAGCGAGATCAACACCAAACAACTAATGCGGTGAAAGCAACAATGTGCTTATTATTAAATGAATAGCTAGGGAGTGTGAAACCGTTCGAAAGCTTCATTCTAATTTGTATCATATCATGAAATTTTGAACTGAAAAGAATCAGCCAGTCTTTCTGTTTGTTTGAAAATGTTATAATTGAATAATTGCTTGAATAAGATTTTCCCTTTCCTTCAACACTAATGACTCATAGTGGTGATTGTTCAACTTTTTCACAATTCCTGATGAATGCGCATTTTGGTGTGCCTTCTTTTCTAATGTTTTTGTGATTCTTTTAGTTTCCATTCCAACCTTCACTGACGTTACATCGCATGCAAACATAGGACATTTTCAATAATTCCATAAATAAACGCATGGAAACCACACTCACTCATGTTTCATCGTTTTTCGTTCAAATGTAACACAAAGAGAACACATGCTGAATGTGTGATTACTTATTTCATCGAAATACAAGTGTGCTTCTTTTGCCTCTATCGTTGAAACACATCAAGCTGACTGATCAGGAATTTTTTGAGTTTCTTGTTCAAGTGCTTCACTCTGCCATCTAATTCTACTGATCGCAAGACTGTCAAATTCATTGAAACAATTCAGACTGCGTAATAATATCATGTCAAATGCGCTGTAATTCTTCTTTTTCATTCAATTTATGCATTGTGTTAATACATCGAATCCCTCACAACAATTGCAAGTTATTTGAGCAATCAGTTCAATAATCTAACTTTCCAACTGATAAATTTATTCACTCAACAGCAACCATCCACTATATACAGAGATGATGAGATCATGAATCATGAATGTAAAAAAAAAATAATCAGAACATTGAACGTAAACATCATAAGGAATACACTAAAGGCATTATATTCATGTTCAATCTTCAGTTCTCCGCAAAACAATCCTCTTGAGTCACATCGGAATGTAATAATGTTGTATGTCAGCGTTACATCCTTCTCAAGTTTGTTGATCACCCTTCAAACGTTTTCTGGCGATTTCACTATCCTGCAAAGTTGCTTATTCAGTTATTCGCATTTGAAAGATACAACTTCAATGATTTATCATTTTGAAAACTTGAGAGATGATTACTTCAACTGATGTGATCTGCTTACGCAAATATTTTAGAATCTTTCCGGCATTACCGAGAAAAAATTTATTACCGTTCCGAATTCGTAGTATTCCGGAACCAGTTGATATAGCCATTCCGGCTCAACAACACTAACATCACGNATCGTGTCTTGTAACACTTCCGAAAAAATCACCCTGAAACAATCGTTACGTTAACTGAACTAAAGGACTGAACAAACTGTAGTCGAAACTGAATCAGTCTACGCGAGCGGCGAGATATTTTTAACAGTTTACAGTCATTTACCATTTCGGGAATTCTTTTCGATACATGAGCGCTGAGCCTTTATAGACTTTGAAGTGGTAATCCTCTCGCACGGTCACATAATCACCACTGCTATGGTATTGTGCCGCCTGTGAGAAGAAACCTTTCACGAGGCATCGACGTATCATTGAGCTTGCACCTGCAAAGCTATTCCCTCAGTACCAATGAATACTATCAGCCAATTCATAATGCTTGTCTGTATTTATGTATGGGAATTTTCAACGCAATAACATTCAGCTTAGCGAAATACTCCATCCACCACTGTTTTTAATGTAAAAATTGATACAAAAATGAACTGAGTCTAGTCACAAACCAGATTCACTCCGACACGAAACAATTGGTATTTCGTATCTTTTCAGCAGTCGAATCATTTGATCACGAATACTTAACGCACGACATAGACCACGATAGTTGACAAAGTGCTGATTACACCA